GCCCTGGGCTGCGGGTCCGTTGTTGCGGCGTCGTTGCGACCATGCCCCTGCCCCGCGGCCCTCACCATTTGCGCTCCCGCGGTCGGCGGACTGAGCCGGAGGCTCTTAAGTCAAATGTATTGCAATATGGTAGCAGTGAGGCTCAAAATGGATACGATCCGACGCCTCTCAAAGCAGAGCTGAACCGAGGACTTCACTTTCACTCAGCGTCTTCTCCTTTTGCCGCTGGGCCCGATTGTGACGCTGGCCTGCTTCGGGGCTTTAAGGCTATAGACTTGTATGATATCATACTATATCATAGTATATTCTACGATATTCTACTATATCATACGATATTATACTTTATCATAAGCTTTCTTGGTGTTCCACTGCAGGGCGATTGACTTTCGGGAAACGTCTTTGCAGATCCCAACGGCTTGCATTCATGGTTCCTTTCATTCCTTCCTTCCTTCCTTCCTTCCTTCCGCGCACTTTTTAGTCTTAGTACTCGAATGTATGTGTGCAAACCCTTTCTCTTCACCTGGCTTGTTCCAAAGTCTATTCCCTCTCGCCTCCGCGCACACGCAACCGCTGCAGCCGTCGACGCATCGCCTCACGAATGCTTGCTGCGGCCCCTGTACTTTGCCACTAGGTTGGCCCCTGAAACTCATTGAAGAAATGTTAGTATATATGATTCCCTATTAAAGCCATTAAGGAAAGTACTAAATCTCCAGGGGCCTACCCAAGTCACGGCAAAGGGAAATCTGAGATATGAACCGGCCAGCCATCTCCGCTCATGACACGCACATCATGCCTAAGACAGCTCAAAAGACAGCGCTGGCAGCGAGAAATTCCTGCCATCTTGGAGCTTGGAGGCAACCCGCCATCACTAGAAGCTTTGGGCAGATCTAGCAGCCACAAGCCTCTTAGAGGACATGAGACCTGTACTCAAAATATGCATTCTGTCTGCTCAAAGTGACCTTCAAGACTCCTTCAACCTGCGAGTTTCGCTTAGAGCTGGATGCTTCAGAGCTGCCAGCTCCAGGTGCCGGCGCTGTCTTTGTCGAAGTCCTCAACGCAGCCAGACTTGCTGGAGAGACTGAAGAAACGCAATAAACCCTCAAGGCAAAGTTCACAGTCACAGGCACGAGCCACTGAGGGACAACCTTCATCTCTAAAGATTGGGCTGCCAGAGTCTTCAATTATGCTAAGGGGTTGCCTGCGCTCTGCCTTCAGTCATCTAATACAGGGGACAGTTTTCTCTAAAGCTTTGGTGTCTTCCGCCCAATGCAAATCCACCTGATTCTTTGCATTCCACCAAGGCAAGCGTATGTTGCTAATCAAAGGGGATTTAACACAAATCATGGCCCGCCGCATGGTTTACTAAACCTACAGCCTGATCGCTTGAATTGCAATCCCGTACTGCCAAACCATTGCGCAGAGATGTGTGAAGTGATTCTTCAGGTTCTCTGCACCAAGTTGAAGCTTCAGCTCTCAACGTGATCAGTGCACAGAAATGCAGGATTAACTGAGATGCTCGGCTCAAGCCTAGAACTTTCTGCAATGCATTTCAACACCAGACATGCCACCAACTTGCACAACTTTTGCTGACAAAGCCTGTCTTACCAGAGCTCAATCAGCCGCTGCATCATGCACAGACTTACCTTTAGTTAGCCGGGAATGAGGGAATGGACAAGAAAATGGAAACTACTATAATGCATGAAGACAGGGACGCCTATAGTGATCCATTGCTTCATTCCTAGCTAACCAGCAGATGGCTACAGCTCTCAATCTGCTGATTTCAAAATTACCGTGGACCTGATTTCATATCCCTTGGACACCAGAGCTGGATGCACCTGAAAGACAGCTTCCTTGAAGGAGTCGGGAAGATCCTCATCCCTGACCGAGGTCTTTGAGGAAGCAGACTGTAGGTGAATGCCGCTCACGTGGCTCAAGATACTCGATCTCCGTTTCTTGCTAAGATCTGGGCATGCCATACCTCAGCCTGAGATCTTCCAACAGCGCAAACGCCTGCAACACATTTGCGTCTCAGCAGTTGTGACATACCTGCATCCTTCTGAAGTCCAGCCTGCTGAGCCCAGGAAACCCACCAAAGTCACGCAGCACTGGTGCACCCGTGCTTGAAACCCCAAAGCCCTGCACAAAGTCTTTGGATTTCCAGGATAAAGCTTAAGGTGCAGATCATCGCTGGGCCTCTTGCTTCTCCAAGTGCCCGGAGCCGGTGATGTCATGCTTGTCATAGAGTCGCTTGAGTTCATCGGCACTGGGAGCCTCAACACTGGCTGTGGCACCCATGCACCAAACATCACTACATCCCACCGAAGAGGTGGCTCTGTGAGCCAAATCCCATGCTGAAGACCGACGCTCATGTCTGATCTGCGCTGAACATCACTGAACAATCCCAGGCAAGCTGAGCCAGCTTCAAAGGATTCCATGCACCTGCTGAGATTTGCTTCTTGCTTGGCTCTTCAACTTCAACGTCTGTGGAGTGTTTTCCTGGCAGGCTTCTTGCGCAATAGATCCAGCTCCTCGAGAATCTGATGCCATGTGCCGACGTCAAGGTATTCATCCTGCACCTGAGCCTCAAATCCCGGGGGAGGTGGCACCACCCGCATTGAGTGAATAAGCATTCGCTCAATGTTATTGTAGTCCTCTGGAAGTTCAGTGCGCTGGGGTTTCAGAATCCCATAGTTGTCCAGAGCCTCTGCATCTGCATCACCAGCCAATCTCAATTTTGATTGTAGCCGCTCGCGGACAAAGTGCAAGGCTGAGCGACCATCGGAAGAGAGCATCCAGGGATGAGCTCGATTCATTGGTGGCCTCGTCCATTCCAGATCCTGCGCTTCCTAGATCAAGTCTTTGCCATGAGGGGGCTATACTAAAGTTTAAATGGGTTTGGAAGCCTGGCAAGCTGAAGTCAAACAAAGCAACTGTCCAGCAGGAGCTTGACAGTGTTCACGTGTCCATAGGAGGCAGCCAAAGCAAGTGCGGACAGTCGAGTGCCTTCAGTGGGAAGGTTGGGGTCGGCCTGCGCTAGCAACAGGTCTTCGCATATGAGATGGTGACCGTTTTGCGCTGCCAGCAGAAGGGGCGTCCATCCCATGTCGTTGGGCTTGTTCACATAAGCGCTGCGCTCCTGACAGTGGCCAGGACAGTTGGTTGGTACTGTACCTGTAGCAAGTTTGAGACAATAAAAGTTACAAGTGCACAAACCTTGAATCCTGAGTCAGCGCGGCAGTCGTCAGAATGACTTGTGCAAGCTGCTGCATGCCCCATCTACAGGCAAGCGCAAGGGCCGTAGAACCAAAGTTGTCCAGGATGCTGTACAGGTCCCTGGTCCCCAATGACAAGCAGCAGGCGACGGCATCTGTTTCATTCTGTACGAGGTTGACGCCTGGAGTGCTCTGCCACTGCAGAAACCGAAGAAGCTGAGCCTTTTGGTCTGCTTGTGTCTTCTTGGCATCGTTCACCAACTGCAGAAACCTGCTTGGTCCTGGGAGGCGCATGGGCTGCGAGGTAGTAGCACCAGGCTGTGCAGGGGCTGCCACTGACCTCGGCGGCGCCGGCGGCACCGGCGGCGCTTTGGCAGCATGCCCTTCCAAGACATCGGCTAAAGCATCAATTCTCACGCCTCCAGGGTCATGCGGATGCTTGCGCAGCAATTTCTACAGACAGCTACTGAGAGACTACGACCGGAACTTTCGCTCATATGATGCCCAGCTTGCTGTCCAAAGTCCTATCCTACCCTGCATGTCTCAGGGGCCTGAAGGACCGATGCCAAGGTGTTGGAGCAAGCCGGGGATATCCTGGGAGGCCACACCTGCCTGCGCTGCCGCCCTTGACACCTCAAAGCCAGAGAGCACTCCATCTGCATCCAGGTCGAATTGTAGCAAGGCTCGTGCCACGGATGCATTGCCCTCAGTCTCGTATGCCAATCTTGTGCAGGTTTCAGGCACTTTCTGAGCATGTGCTTTCACTAGATCTGCAGGTCAAGGGGCGCTTCGGAGCCAGGCGAGGAGGGTTTGCCTCGCTGACAGGTTAGACAACGGTGGCGGTGGCGCTGCGCGCATGGCAAGGGTCAGGCCCAGCCCGACATGTTAAGCAAATTGCTGGGACTCCTGTTGTTCTTCTCACGTTGGAGTTGAGCAAGTTAATCCCGACATCAGCGCCACCAGCCGTCCGCTGACTGAACAAAGTATGATGTATGACTCTATGACCCATCTTGGAGATCCCAGGCTGCACATATTGATCTGTTTGGGAAGTGTTGGGCAACCATTTCAGGAGTCCAGGTATCTGTCAAATTGCTGGGCACCCTGACATCCACACATCAGCCAATGCTGCCACAGGAAGAGAAGGTAAGAACCTTCCACATTGGTCAGTGAATACAGCCTCCTCTCTTTGTTGAAGGCCAGTCTGAAATTTCAGCCCTCAGCCCCAAGTGAAAGTAAGGCAACGCAGGATATGAGCTTAATGCTACTGTAGGGTTTGACTCATGGTTTGCTCTCAATTTCAATCTTCCGGGTGCAGCTGAATGTCCAGGGTCCATCCACACAGTGTACGGTCACAGTGTCGGGATTTAGGTTGCGTTCCTTTGTTGCTGTTCGAGTTTCGTCGCTTTCTGAGCAGGATGAATAGTCACAGGCATTCTGTACATGTCATTGCTCTTGTAACCTCGCGTCTTATATGCATTGATCGTTGGACGTGAATGTATCCGTGATATCATATCGCTTTGTCAATCTTTGTATCTTCATGCGACTCATAAGTAAGACGCCTGTTCCCACCAACTCCAAACCACCAGCCCCAACCCAAACCTGCAATTGACAACAGCCCGAGTTGTGCAGTCTGCCAGGATGCGGAGGCTTTAGATTCAACACGCTGCTTCACCAACCAGTTGGCAGATCCTATTCCAAGCTTTCCATGCGCCCAAATTCGGGTCTTTGTCTCTCTGAAAATTGGGAGATGGACACAGCAGTATGAGAGCTTCAACAAACATGCAAAGACGGGCCCGCATTGTTGGCCCACACCTAAGTTGCCAGCGGTTCATCTTGACGGAGCACCATTCTTTCAGCGCTCATGCAGCGCTTTGGCATGCATTTGTCAAGCATAAACACACCAACTCCAACGGAAAGACTCCGTTGAGTGGATCAGAACTCCTCTGCATAGATGTGTGTAGACATCCAGCGCATCACGCCCTGCAAGTCAGAGCATTCTGCCGACCGTCCCCTCAACGATTCCACAGATTGATCCGTACAGCCAAGCTTGCACCGCTTGCGGGGTTCCGTTCTAAGGGTGAGGCAGGCACAGAAAGGACTTCATCGCAGGTCTCCTTGCTTGCTGGAAGCTTGCCGAGCATGTCTTTCAGAAACATTTTTGAATAGCTTCTGGTAGACAAGAAGAACGTGCCCAGCATGCTCTGGTCACCAAGCCACATTCGCGCGTCCCTTCCTGCCCTCTTGCTGCTTGCTGCAACACACAGAAAAACTATCAGACTGTCCCCCCCCAATCTCTAGTCCGAGGTGGCACATCCGTCTCGCCCTGCGGAGAGCGCGCTTTCGGATTGTCAGACCCCAATGGTGAACCCCCAATTGAGATTTGTGCAAGCAGGTCTGGGGAGTCCTGAGAAACTGCGCGTCATGGGCGCTCAGGAGAGTCCCTTTTTGTATGCACCCAGCTCACTTCACGCTGGATAACCCGCCGTGTTCCCTCGAGACGTGTTGCAAAGTTGCAATATGCTACAACGAGAGGGCTCTACAAAAAAACATTCCTTGTGATCCAGAGCCATGTTTGCCTCTTGCGAAGTCTGCACGACATGCTCTTGGATCTGCATATCTTTGCACCATTTTGCACCACCCTCGCTGGCAAGCTCCCTACCCTCCTCATGCATTGTTCATCTGATCCAGAAACAAGCTAACGTGTACGAGTTCATCTCACGGAGTCCGGTCACATGTACTGCAGCTGGCCCTCTGGGTGCCACACAACCGCCTCGCGAGCCCTGTTGAGCTCTCCGTCCTCCTTTGCGGGCTTGCAGAACCTGACAGCACAAGCCAGCCTGAGGGCTTCCCTTCCCAATCATCTGTTCAAATTCATTTCATCAAACTCAGTCAGAATGTCATCCACACTTTCTGCAAGATTTGCAGCCTCAACTCGCATGAATCCATGCGCGAGCTGCTTTTCGCATCAGGGTCCTCGGCAAAATGTCTGACCCACATACCCTGCCATACCCCGGCCTACGGTGTCGTGGTGACCTGATTGGTTTTTGTTGTTTGATGATTGCTGCGCGCTGCTTCCTGGCAGCTTTTTGCTGGTTGCCGGTTGCTAGTTGTTACCGTCGAGGGCGGAGTGGCGGCGGTAGCAACTGTGATATTGATTTTGGCAGTAGAAGCGGAAACTATGCAGAAGCTTGCCATGGCAACAGTTCTGGCTACAGCTGGCCCCCATCTGTAGCAGCACTAGTATCGCCGTCTTTTCCTTGCAGAAGCACAATCGACACCGGCAGTGCTAGGATGTGCTAGGCGGAGGTTCTAACAGTGGGAGGGAGCTCATCAGCAGCAGCAGCAGCGGCAGCATCTCTGTTGCTATTGAAATGTACTTCTAATGATACTACGAGACGAGGACGAGGAGGAGGAAGAGGAGACTTGTGCACTTGATCATTGATTGCTGCAGGTGCACTCCTGATGCCATGACAACCACCATGAAAACGACGACAACTGACAACGACGGCGCTGGCAGCTGCATCAATGATGACAATGACAACCTGCACAACGAGCCCGACCTCTACAACCACTACTTACCACTGCGACAATGATGAATACGATGAATACTAGACAAACTCTGACTGCGGGGGCGACATGCAATGATTACGATGGTAGTGCCGCTGCTGCCTCACCACCTCGCCCTTGGTGACATTTAGCGACTTGGCTGCCGGCTGGATGCCTTGGCTTGGCTAGGAGCCTTGGCAAGGGGAAGCCGACGACGTGTTGCAACGTGACGCAAGCACAATCAGGCTGCAGCATCGTGCCTAGACTCAGCATTTAAACTTGTTCAAGTTCACACTTCAGGCCCAATGCAAACCCAGCAAGGTTACATCTCACGCACACTGCTTCACAGACGCTTGCGGGGTAGGAAAAATTCCCCAGCGAATGCTGCGCTGTCCGTGGCTTCTGAACGCAACTGTTGTTTGCGGCTGGTGGGCTTGCAGCAGAAACACATGCATCCTGGATTTGATCGCTCGTGTAGGAAGACGACAACAAATGAGCATTTCCAAATCCTGAAGGTTGGAGGCAAGAGCTGACAGATGCTGAGCGATTTATGTTACACATCAATCATAGCGCCGGCATTGATAGTAAGAGTCGACAGTACTATTGCAGTGAGTAGTGTGTAGAGCTTGGCCAGTGCCAGGCTGTAGCATCGCTAGGTTTGCAGGAGCCATGACGTGAGGTCCAAATGAGGCAGGAGCCTGGGAATGCCACGAACGGAAAGTCGGAAAATGCCTCCGGCCCCAATCACAGCGAAAATCTTAGCCACGTGAGCTATCACATCTACACGATTCCCTTTGTAAGCTCGGCCTGTTGGGACCTCGACCAGGCTGCTCACGCCACACAGCCCATCAATGCTTGCCAGCCTCGGAAACTGTTGAATGATGTGAAGCTTTGTTGTTGTACACGTCTTTAGCTGCACAGACCCAGAAACCCTGAAAACGGGACCCCCACAGGTAGATAAGCCTGCGGTTGATGGCAGCGCCATCAGGATCAAGATGTGATCGTTAGGGAGGAAATCATCAGATATCCCTAGCAGACTGTGCTGAGGTGACCTTCCAACGAATTGCAGAATGTAAGGGGTCTATGTCTATGGACTTGCTGGCAGACTGCTCGTCTCTGACTTTGTCTGGCACGAAGCTGATGGAGTGACAGCTGATAAAATCATTAACCCTCAAACTCGAACCTTGAACCCTAAACCAGAAAACCTGCACCCCGAAAACTTAAGGGTCAGGCGGTGTTTGCCACTTTGGGTGCCACTGGGTTATTGTCCGGTCCGCCGAACCAGAAAGGATCGAATCCTCGGATGGGTATAGAAACTAACCCAGATTTAGTTAGCGGATACCATTTCCATT